GAGCCAGCCGGTTTCAAGCTGATTTCGTTCGAAACCAAATGTAAAAGGAAGTGTGTATATATGCTCTGTGTCCGTCAAATACACGCTTTTGTTCAATTTTTCCTTTTTTTTCTTTTTTTTTTTTCTTCTTCTTTGTCTTTTTATTGCGGACGAAGTCTTACACACTAAAACTCGTTGTCAAGCTTGCGCGTGAAGATGCAAAGATTTATCTTCTTTTTTTTCTACGGTTCTCCACGCGCGATTCTTTTTCAATGAGATGCGTCTACGAAACGAATGCGAGTTTTTAATAGCAGTTCACGATTGTACTTCACAATACGAAAATAACGATCGAATTGTACAGGGATTGAATCGGGAATCGAAGATCGTTCGGTTCGATTAATAGCGACGTAAAATAATTCTAATCGCTAGGTTTATGAAATATTACACGATATCACAGATACAGTGTTGTTTACGAAAGTCTTTGAATCGTTGCGTTCCTTATTATTGAGATTATTAAGATTGAAAAACAAAAAAAAAAAAAAAAAAAAAAAAAAAAAAAAAAAACAGTGTTTTGGAAACAAACGAAGTGTTCATGTTTTGTTGGAAATGTGTGAGTAAAGTTGGAAAAAAACCCGATAACGTAAACAGAATTGAGAAAGTAAGAAATATTGCTTACGGGAATCAGAAAATTCTTGGAATTCTTCGCGGAAGGACATGTGATATAAACTCGGTATTCAATATATAATCAGTACAATTTTCAGTCCATGCTAAGGCACAATCTGAGACGCAAGTGTTCCGTAGTAAATAGTAATTTCACGAGTGTGGCTACAAGAAGGTAAGAGCAAGCTGAAGTTGTTAGTGAAATTAATGAAGAAAATTGTACTAAACAATTGAGAAATTCAAAAATAAAAGGAACATTGCGAATAAAGTTAAACAGGGAAAAAAATTAACTTTTATAGAAAAAAAAAAAAAAATAACCCACTGCATTCAAAATTTGTTGGGATAATTGCTATCAGTTTCGGAAAGAATGTTTTGCAATTACTTGCAGGATAAAGGCATTATCTTCTCATTGTCAGACGTTTTCGGCCAGTAGTTGACATTATCACGGAGATAGGAAAATTATTTTTTACCATTGGCATGGATTGATACAAAAATAATTCATAACTTTTAACAATTTTGTGACTCCAGTATACTTGTATACGTTTCTTACTTTATCAATTCTTCACATTGATCACGTTATCGGATTTCCTTTTAAACGTTACTCACACACTTTTTAATCTCTCTTGTCTATTCACCGCGGTGTCGCGGCGAATTTTACATCTCGATAATTATGGATACGATGATTCGAAGACTTTTTTTTCGTGAGCTTGACTGTACGGACGGGTACAGAATATTAATAACCTTCGCTGTCCTATATTAGGACTAAACTAACGTCACAAGCGACACGTTTCTCGATTCGCGAATTACGACTTGTCGCATTGAAAGAAAAAAGAGGAAGAAAAAAAAGAAATACGAGAAGGAAGGGAAAGACGGAGCAAAGAATATCCCTTAGTTATTAGAGATGGTGAGACAATGAAATTTCGCTGCACAAAGATCATCGCAACTGCACAAGATCCACTGTGTCTCGTAGCAGAATATCGTTCGGTTTCGTACCGTAGACGACTGCCAGAAAAAGAGATTTATAAAAAAAAAAAAAAAGACTCCGTGAGAGAACTACGTTCCTTGTGACACACAGCCCATGAATAAAGGACAACCCAGAGATATTCGCAGGACGAATATAGAACGTTGCTCGCGTTCCTCGAAGCCGTTTCCGTTGTCTGTATTTATTTGAAAGGGCTGCATTGTGCAGGCATTAACTAATAGAGAATTCTATGGAATGTTGAAACTTAAAAAAAAAAAAAAAAAAATTAAAAAAAAAAAAAAAAAAAAAAAAAAATAGAACGAAGAACTTCGATCACGTTGATCCATGAATCAATTATCACACAAACGAGAGTAACAAGTGATTATTAACTTGGTTCGAAGCGATAAAGTTGAAGACGAAAATTCGACGACGAGGGAAGTGAGATTTTCAATCGGAAAAATCCCTCGATACCTTTCCGCGAAATACACATCTTCTTTCTTCATTTGTTAAACAAATGTGACAGCAGAGAGAGATGTGATTTTCGCTCGTGCATTTTGCCCCTCATCGAATCGCGCGTTTCTTCCAACCTTCCCGAAACCGAATCACGAAGAAACGTGAACAACGATCGATACTGTTTCCCCATTCGCGTGCTGTTAATTATCGGTTTTATATCGAATCGAGATAAACCACTCAGCCTATGGTGCTTCAATAGATTGTGCCTCGTCGATCTCTCCAATTCATTTCCGTTTTCCTTTTTTGTTCGTCCCGAGTGTGAAACGATCTGTGATTCTGATCGTTGGGATCATCGGTTCCCTCAGTCTACCAAGAATTTTTTAAGGCCGAAAACACACGCTTGCTTAACAATTGAACGTTTACATCCTCTTGTAGAGGTAATTAACTCTATTTTTCCAATCGTCGAATCTTTTTTAAGAAAGAGATCGAATTCCTGGCGTCGTTTTTTTTTTTTTTTTTCAAAGAAAATATCGAAGAATAACGATACTACTATTTTTCGTAAATGGTTCAGTGTGGTTAAAACTTGAACCGCTATGATCGAAACGCGACACTGTTTTCCTAGAGAAGAGAAAATCGCCGTGATAATATCGTGAAATAATCCGAGAAACAACTTGAGGTAAGATTGAGAAATTTCTTCACTACACTGCGAAGGGAGAAAGGGAGAGTCTGTTAATCGATTAATCCGATGTCTTCTTTTAGGCGTCCACGACTAGAAAAATACTCGCTTGTAAAACCAAATATTGACGATCAAACGAAAATGATATCAAAAAAGAAATGAAAAAGAAAAAAAAAAGAAAGAAACAACAACAACAAAGAATGATACTCCTAATTTTGGCAGTCGATGGACAAATTTAAACAAAAAAAAAAAAGAGAATCATAGAGCAAAGCATAAAGAAGCTAAAAAAAAAAAAACATAACCGAGAAAGAACGTACTTCGTATAAGATGGCTAGAAAGGGAGACTAATCGCTCACGTCAGTTTCTGACATTATTCATTTTTACAAATAGGCGCATTTACGTAAGCATTTTACTTACTCGAACGTTAATAAGAAATTGTGCCAACCGAGTCTGCGATCCTATGAGGATAAGGATAATTAAAAAAAAAAAAAAAAAAATGAAAGGGAAAAGAATCGACGTGCCCTTCTCTCTCTCTCTCTCTCTCTTTCTCTCTATCTATCTATAAATATATTTATGGCCCCCTGCAGACTTTCATTAATATAAATAATTAATTAAGATTACATATACATAGTCTCGATTTAAACACGGGCATGATCGATCCATTTCCATCCGTGAATCGCAGACGACGGTTCGCCACACGATCCGCACGGAGGCTCTCGATTTCTTGATCGACGCGACAAATTCACCTCGTGCGCGAGGAGGGGGGCGTGAATAGCTTCGCCGCCCCTGCAGAATCATTTGTGTATTATTTCTAACAGAATGTAATAAAGTACGGTTAAAAAAAAAAAAAAAGAAAGAGGAACTGTATCGACCCATTTCCACGTTTCCATCTCCGTCCTCTCTGTTCGATAACCTGAAGATTTCTTGTGCATTGCATTTGGTAGTAGACAGCGATTTAAACAAACTTAACTTCGCCGATGCAAAAATACGCAACAGATATGCAATATCTATTATTGCACGTTTCACGAAAGAGAACCTCATTTTAATTTTTACTGCGTCCATGAAAATATTTCAGTCGATTTTCGCTCGTTTTCGTTGTAATCGGCGGAGTTTGAAGTTCACTCGTCTGAACGCTATCGAATCTTTTTCTCCTAAGTCACAAAGTAACAAATTGTATCTTGCACAAATGCCGATAGACACGCATTTAAGATTGTTTTTTGCCTAAAAGAAAGATTATTCGTTACTGAAAATGTTACGTTCAGCGAGCATTGCACAAGCAATTTTTGTCAACACGTTTTTGGGACATGTTTTTTTTTCTTTTCTCACAAAGTAACAAATTGTATCTTGCACAAATGCCGATAGACACGCATTTAAGATTGTTTTTGGCCTAAAAGAAAGATTATTCGTTACTGAAAATGTTACGTTCAGCGAGCATTGCACAAGCAATTTTTGTCAACATGTTTTTTTTCTTTTCTCTCGCTAATCATCGATCGGGCTTCGAAATTTTCACGAGACCCCGCCGTTTCAAATTGTGTAATTTAGATAGTTGCGGCATTCGACGATAAGCACGGAAATATTACGCATTATCAATCTTATCAAGAGCGCAATCAATAATACAACGCTTGTAGTTAACTATTATAATCGGGTTTCATTTCGACGGCATTCATCGACACGTACGAATTAATCGTTTAATCGGCATAATCTAAAACGCGTGTATGAATCGCCATTGAAAAACTAATCAATGATTGCAACATAGATCGATATTGGAACGTATTTAATTGTTAATCTCGCATGTTACATAAAGAAAAACTAATCTTTCGAGTGCTGAAATATTTTAAAAAAGTCTCGAGTGCTGAAATATCTTAAAAAAAAAAGAAAAAGAATCCTAATCTTATAATTAAATAACGTACTCTATCGTTCAGAAGTGTTACAACATTCGCTATTTGCCACCGAATGTTTTTATTTTACATGCGCTATTGTAATGTTACATAGCGAAATGAAGCGAAATTACAAGTCCCGACACAGTGTGTCCACGTTGTACGTATTATTTTTCTGCGTAACTGTTCGCAAGGATGATCGTCAATCAGTTTATACTTGACCGATAACCGTAACAGCGAACTTTTAAGTCATCTACGTCTATATCTGAGCGAGTTATGACCATTAATTACATCATTGTGATCCCGTGTTGATTTCGGAATACAGACGGCGATTCATTTTCCGGCATTCGGGGAAACACACGAGCCTTTCATTAAATTCCGCAAAGATAAACAGCGTCAAGATAAAGTGAACAGTTTTATCAGTAACATTAGGGGGCACGCTACCTCTCCGGGGTTATCTGGATGATTTCGCGTCAGTTTCTGTCACTAGTTGTAAGGCCAGTTGTCGGAGCCATTTAAATTGTACGATTTCCTCGCTCCGGGAATCAATCGACTCATGGTTTGACTGTTCAAGAAGAAAGATCGATCTGTCTCGTGTCGCCAGTTTTCCTTGCGTTCGCGCGAGTGTCAAGTTAATTAGTTAATTTTGATCAGTATTCGCTGCGTATAAAAACGGTAATTTCATTGGAAATTCTTTTTAGATTTATACACGGTGTATGTAATTGCGAAAATATTCGAATGGTAGAAACTCTGTGCATCGTGCGATTTATTAGCACTGTAAATGGACTCGATTATGTTAATGATTAATTAATATTTCGTTCTGGCACAATGTTTGATGCCTGTTGTACCATCGGTTCCGAAATGCTTTACACGCAAATGTTCAAATGCTTGATGTGAATTATTAATATTAATCGTAGATACCATGGCTGAATCAATGATCTGTATCGAGGACTTCGAGAAGTACGCTTTAAAGCATCTGACGCCGTCCGTCAGAGATTATTACAATTCTGGCGCGGGTGAGATGTTCAGTTTGAAGCTGAACGTGGAAGCTTTTAAAAAGTAAGTGTTAAAAATGAGAATGTGCAAAACCCTCGAAAGTGTACGATAAAATTTTCTACAATTTCTCGCGATTCTTTTTCTCTAATGAACAGTCAATGAAAAATCTGACACAACTGATCATGTCAAGATAAAAAAAAAAATTGAAAAGCAATTTCTTTAAAGAACATGAAACTGAATCAATAGGATTATAACTATAATCCAAGTACATGCATAGTTTTCTAATCTAATCTATTTGTTAATCTTGCTAATCTTATGATTTTCCATTAAAAGAAAAATTGCCACGCTTTACAGGTACAGGATAAGGCCACGATTTTTAAGAAATGTTTCCAAGAGGGATTTGACCACCACGATTTTAGGTGAAAGAATCTCGATGCCATTGGGAGTTGCGCCAGCGGCTATGCAACGTATGGCACATCCCGAGGGCGAATGCGCAAACGCAAGAGGTACGCGTATCAAATTTTAACACTGATTACAATAATGTTCTATCATGAGTTTGCATATCATTTTCACTTTCACTTGTTGATAATCTCTCACTTTTTAAATATCAAACACATTGTGTAACGTATGTAGATTTAATAAAAATGTTTATTAACTTACGCAAATATCTTACAAAAATAGTTGCAATCACAAATACGTAACTTTAATTAGTTCGGTTAATCGGCGACGATCACAGTCGAACTTTTTTCACGTTTGTTAAAAATATTATAACGTGGAGTATACGGTGTAGAATTGAATAAACAACATACACGATTTCCTATAAAATAGGCAATTTTTTTCTCTTTTTTTTTTTCTTTTACTTTAATTTATTCGAGTCTGTACAGAAATTAAGTTGTCGTTTTCCTCGTCATATAGTTACAAATATACATAAAAAAGTCGCGTTGGATCGTATAAAAAGTTAAATGATCGATAATTCATTATATATGCAATAAGATGATATGTTTGCAGACATTGTCATTTGTTTAAAAATATTACTTATCATTACTTAGCTCCTTTGTAAATGAAAGTCTTGTACAGAAGAATTCTTGATCTCATAATCGCACGAAAAACAAATTTATCCGTCTACTCTTGTACATTATAAAATGTACATCTCGCTTTACTTCAGTCAAATGAACTTAATCGACTAACTCTGAAAAAATTTGGCAATAAGGTAATTTTATATGTCGATCAGTTCGTTTATAAATCCTTAACTATGCTAGTTGTATTAATAAAAAAGGAAATACCTATAAAATTGAGCTTTGAAGCGAAATTACTTTGTAAGTAAAGTAATCACTATAATTATAACGTACGTAAGTTCTAAATGCAGCTATACGTTTAAGGCACAACAGAGAGTTCGTACAGTATTTACATCGATGGAAATGCGTTAAAAAATGTGTCACCATGGGAATACTGGTAAGAATTGCTTATAAAAAAAAAAAAGAGGAAGCAATATTTCATGTCGTATCATGTGTAAGGCAAGCTCGCAATGTCAAAATATGTATTTTGATACAAAGAGACTGAATTCAATTAATAAAATTTCAGATGACTAGTCAATGAAAATGGAACGTATGTTTGTATATTTATACATGTAACTAAATTAGACGTTTAGGGGCTAAGAAAGTTACGGCAATAAAAGGCAATCGAATTAATGTCGTTTGGGTCCCACGTTATCCCAGTTATTAATAGCTTTCATATTCACTTTCTCTATTCTCCATTTCTGTGTGGCAGCGGCTACGTCACAATTCGTCACGAAGACTTTTTTGCTTGCTGGATCCATGTCTAGACATCTCGACGAGTAACCGTGCATCAGCCATTGTTTCTCAACGTTGTAACGCCACAATTGATTCCCTTGACCTCCGTGGCAGGGATACAAAGTGACTGGTGCTTTCGTACCTCCCTTCGAGACATCTAAACATTCTGTACGATCCTTTGGTCTAATGTCTTTGTGCCAAGTCAATTTGAATTCTTGTTCTCCTATAATTTTTGGATTATCCTTTATGCAGACATCGATCGCAACGAGTTCGTCTTTCCTTCGTTTTTTCGAGTCCAGGCACAATTCTGGCACGCCTATGTTACGAATTTCTCCAGATGCAAAGTCATCGGGCTCGACGGGTGGATACACGTCGACGAGATCAAACGCTATGTTTTCCATGAACCACTTGAACGGTTTGCAATGTAGCCTAGCTCTCAAATCTCTTTGCTCTTTCAAATTTCCAGGATCCAGTGACCTCAAATGCGGTCGTCTTCTGTAGATATACTCTGCATACTCATCCATCCACACTTCTGCTACTCTCTTGTAATTCTTTCCCAAAAAGTCCCCTTTGCCTGGATTGGGAAAAGGTGGGAACTTTCTATAAATGTGACCTACTCTCGAACAAGGGGCATCATACATTTGGCCACCACACTGCCAAATTTTGAATGATAGCTCATACTGTTCACCTCCCCATATATCTAATTCTGGATCATATCCACCTAATTCCCAAAAGAACTTTGCGCTAATGGCAAATAGTCCACCTGCCATTACTGGGCTTTTAAATGGCTCTGTTGGATTTTGCAGATCTTCGGGTAACAATGGCAAGCGTTTGTAGTACAATTCCCAGTCAAAAGCACCTCTTGCGCCTTCATCTTGAGCTCTGTACTCAAATGTCTCATAAGCTATCACATCAATAAAAGGGCACACGCAAGTTTTGTAGTTCTGTGCAATAGGTTCTAACAAAGGTGGCAACCAATTGACATTTGCCTCACTATGAGAGTCCAAGAATACAAGTACCTTTGCTTTTGCAATCTTTGCACCAGCTAACCGACCTTTAATTAAACCAGAACGCTCCACCAATCTTACAACTTTCACTTTTGGCAAGTGTCTGGCTATATAATCATCTAAAGGCTTTTTCAATTCTGTCTTGGTGCTAGCATCATCGACCAGTATAATTTCCTTGAGAAGAGATGCTGGTGAACGGTTAATAACGCTCCAACAAGTGCGCATTAATGTGCTAAAGTGTTCATTATGGAAGGAGACTATCACAGAAACTGAATCAAGATTTTTCAAATATTTCTTCTTCTTACAGCCAGGGTGCCTAATGTCAGGTACTGAGCGGTTCATTGAAATCTCATCGCTGAGCGCAGCATTAAAGCCATTTACCTGATATAACTTTTCTTTCAGTGCATCAAGAGATGGCGAAAGGAATGCAGGTTTCCCATGTTCACCCGTTCCACTCCTTTTCTTCTCTTCTTCAATTTTCTCATAATCGTGCCAGTCTATTTTCTCATCAATGTCCTGCAAAAAAGTTCCATTCAAATATTTATGCCATTAACAATGAATCTCACCTTAATACTACAGAATCACCAGAGTAGTCAAATTTGTCTTTCTCACAGAGAAATTTTGTAAATTTATAACTCGCATCATACGCCTTGCTTTGCATTTACCTTTTCTACAAGTATTTCATACTTGAATTATTGAGTTATTGACAGGTTCCAGCGCCAATGTAGAAATAAATATTATTTTGCACGGGGGCTCGTGAAAGCGACGTACGCTACTGCGCGGAATGCAGAAGGCTAAGATATATTGCTAAACCTGTTTTACTTGCGCCAATAATGAGCAGGTCTTTAACCCATACCTGATAAAGATGGTCGTTGAAATTCTGCCTGGAATCGATGAGATTCTTCTGACTGTCGTCAATGCCAACCAATACGGCGATCGGTGTCACGATTTCATGGTTAGGTGATGTCCGCACGTAACGAAACACAACGACCGTCAGGAATACGGTGAAAACCGCCAGTAGGAAGAACTTTATCAGGCTCACGACATTTCTTCTCATCATCGTGAAACACTCATGTCGCGCGATGAGACCTGCGAAAACCCGCTGCCAGTCACCGGCCTGGCAAACTATCTGCGCGAAACTAACCTCATGTGTGTGCAATCGGCGGTAGCTTATCAGCTGCTATCTTCGATACGGAACGTTGGATAAATCTGTCGCGATAAAAACACATGGGGTAGAGACGGTTGCCACGCGTCGACTGAGGATCGATCCTCTGGAATCGAAGCGGTTCTCGACCGGCCGGAGTGCATTCGATACATTGAAAACTATGCACCATCTTGTTCAAAAACACTCTAGGTCTGGCCCTCTAACTTTTGAATGTTTGGTGTTTAACGTTCTCGCAAGGCACAGTTTAATTTTTGTCGATTAAAAAGAAAAGACAGATGGTTTTTACTCGAAGAATAAACTATTTTCAAACTACATTTAGATCTAGAAGATTTAAATGTAGTTTGAAAGTTCTTCGAGTTTCTAGACATCTATGTAGAAAAGCGAGAGATAAAATCGAGTCGATATTTTAATTTTTTCAGCCGCCCAAGAAGCGGGCACGATCTACATACTCTCGACGATATCAACAAGTAGTATTGAAGAAGTCGCCGAGGCTGCGCCAGACGCGATAAAATGGTTCCAGCTGTACATATACAAGGATCGCAATGTTACCCTAAATTTAGTCTCGAGAGCGGAGCGCGCTGGTTTTAAAGCTCTTCTTCTTACTGTCGATGCACCGCTATTCGGCGACAGACGTTTAGACATTAAGAACAAGTTTTCTCTTCCAAGTCATTTAAGGTAGTGGTCGTATTATTTAATATTAAAATTTTGACACATAAAATATGAAAAAAAAAATATATATATATATATATACACACATATATATGTATATATTTTTAGATTACGAAACTTTGAAGGAGAATTGTCCAGTAAAATAAACAATGCCGAATCTGGCTCTGGTTTGAACGAATACGTCACGAATTTGTTTGACGCCTCCTTGACGTGGAATGACATCAAATGGCTGAAAAGGTTGTTAGATAATTTCGTTAATTTCAATGGAATTTCAATTGGAAGGAGTTGAAACGAATACCGAGTTAATTGTTTCTTGCAGCATCACGAAGCTGCCGCTCATTTTAAAAGGAATTCTCACCCCGCAAGACGCACTGTTAGCCATCGAATATGGAGCATCGGCGATTGTTGTTTCAAATCATGGCGCTCGGCAAATTGACACTATTCCGGCCTCGGTTTGTCATCTCTCTTTGTAGAGTGTACTCTTTTCATATTATATTACAATATTCAATTAGAATAAATGTAATTTATATAGATCGAGGCATTGTCAGAAATAACAAAAGCTGTAGATGGTAGAATAGAGGTCTACATGGATGGGGGTGTGAGGCAAGGAATTGATGTTTTCAAGGCACTTGCTTTGGGCGCCAAAATGGTAAGAATATAACAAATTATGCAAATTGTTGTTTCAATTCCTATTTTTATATACTTTGTAGGTATTTGTTGGCCGACCAATGTTGTGGGGTTTGACTTGTGACGGTAAGAATGGCGCAAGAGCGGTTCTCGAAGTGTTCAGGAAAGAGATTGATGTTGCATTCGCGTTGTCAGGTATGATAGTCATTCGCGTGGAATTACCATCGTGTGTAATTTTATAAATATTTCAAAATCAATTTGCAGGCTGTGCTACTGTCAATGACGTTACGAGAGACATGGTTCAACACGAGTCTTATTACAGCCGTTTATAACAAAAAGAAGATGATGAAGTTAATTTAATTGTAACAGGTTCCTTTAAAAATTAATGACCACTTCGATGGACATTAAGATTATCATTTAAGATTATCATATTTATCTTAGAAATTATTTCAAAATTAAAATAATCAATAATAATTTTAAGGGCATTTCAGAAATGCTCGAGTCTAGAAGTTACTTTGTTATTATAATTTTCCTAGTAGTAATATATAGTTTGAGTAACGTAGTTTATGCTTACACGTCGAGTTATTTAAAAACAAAAAAAAAAAAAAAAAAAAATTGAACAGCGTATATAATAATAAAAGGTATACTGTCTCTACAGTTTGAACATTGAATGACACTGGAAACGTTTTTCTTCACAATATTGGCGTTTTATTGAATATCTCTTGTATATTCATCTTTGTATACATATATGCGTGTGTGCGGCACACATATCACAATTCACGAAGCGTATGTACGCGCACACGCATCCAAAGGTGATCCGTGGCTTCTTTGCAAACGGAACAAGATTGACTATTTTGACGTCGATATTACATACATAACGCACGAAACATGCAACAGAGTACTTGCATCGCTCTCTGTTCAATTTGCAAAATACTCACTCTCTTTTTTTTTTTTTTTCTCTTAATCCATACCACACCGCATACCGGAGGGGGGGGGGGGGTAGGAGGAGGAGAGAGGTTTGAATTCTCTTGGCAAAAAAATAAATCCCTCTCTGTCTTTCCGGTATATCCTATCCCCGGTTTAGTAACTCTGGTGCCGTCATTACAGTCGTAATTCTTTTGTTTTTTGTATTTTTTTTTCTGTTTGTTTACTCACAGCTTTACAACGTTACAATTAATCGTTACTTGTATGTATATATTTATATTTTTATTTATATATTTATATATATATATATGTATATGTATATTTATGTATATATGTATAGTGGCCTCGTTCGCTACAGATTTTCCTGTTTTGCTGAGTATGCACGCTGCGACGCTAAAATTTTTAGTTTATGTATACGCAATGTACACGTGTGTGGTAGTATATACACACATACACGCCTCCTGCCTGTACGCTGTGTGTATATATATACATAATATACGTTATATATACATGCATACACACGAACACTCGCATTTCCTCACCGATTTTTGTTTTTTTTTACACGCGGTTGCTTCAACGAAGGATACACGTTTGCGATATTATTTGCCAATGCAGATCCAACTATATTACAAAAATATAACAACGTGTTTGATAATTCGCCGTTATCTCTACGATAATCGTTATCTCCTAGATAAGAACGTTTCCCAGAAATGTGTCACTGTGATTTCTCAAAACGAAATCTATCGGATTCAGAAAATAAAACTTGTTCGACTCTCTCTATTAATAGACATAGATTATTCACGCGATAAGTTTTATCTTATTTTATTTTATTTTTTTTCTTCCTTTCGAGAAATGGACAATTTGCAGACGTGTATCCTCAATTTTCATCCTGTCCGATCAATCTTACACCCATCGACGATATTAAATATCCGCATATACACGGTATACAGTTGGCTAGATATATACGATTACGATAGATACACAGTGTGTTTTTGTTTGTGAGTTTTTCAGCGTGAGTTTTACTGTTCTGTGAGAATTTCGTGAAAGAATGATTGTTCGAAATCCTGTTGAATGGCGTCCTCTAAGATTCGGGATCCAGACGCGGGAGAGAAACTTACTTTCGCGATAAAGTGACGATTTAGGCGATAGTACATTAGTAAGTGTAAAATTCATTGGTCCAGAGAGTTGTGTGTGTTTGGAGAGGGCTTTTGTCTCCCCTGTCGCTCGGATTTTCTTCCTTTTCTTCTTTTTCTTTTTTTTTTTCCCCTTTCGATTTCTTTGCCCTCGATGATTCTCTTCCCTCGGACAAGGGCTTGAAACTGGAAACGTTGAAAAGTATCTTTTGAATCGGGAGAGGATATGCTTTGTTTTTCCTTTCGATATTTGTAAGCTTCTCGAAAGTTTCTCGACTATCGGGGATAGACTGAATGATTTCTATTCTTCTCTCTCTCTCTCTCTCTTTTCTTTTTTCTTCTCGATAGAACAATTTCGTTTTACCTTAAGCTGGCTGATATTTTTTGTTCTCCTGGGCCTCTTGATGCAAAAATTTCGTGATGCAATAATGTCGTTGATCGGTATTTCATGTGAAAAAAATGTTTCGAGTTCAGAGAGACGACATTTCCTTCTTCTTTTTTTCTTTTTTTGCTTTTTTCACGTCTTTTCCATCCCGATCGGTCGAACAAACGACAGCCGAAATTCCTTCGACCGATCGATCGAAAAAAAAAAAAAAAAAAAAGAACAACTTCGTTCTAGAAATAATCGCGAGGATGAATGACTCTTCGATCAGTGACGAAGCGCGACAGTGTAAAAATGTTTTTTAGAATATCGTTTGCGCAGTTCGCACGGGAGAGAGGTGGGAAGGGAGGGGGGGGAGGGGATTCGAGTCTTATACGTATATTTTGTTTGCTAGTGAGAGTACGCGGTACAATTACTGTTTAGTGTTGGTTTGTTCATTAAGGTTTTTTTTGTTTTTTTTTTTTTTTTTTTAAATCGACCTTCGTTAAAACATGGAAAAAGAAAAATAAATTGGTCAGGTGGCTCGTATATAACGAAATCACGAGGAAACAATGGAACGTATACAGCGTATGGTAATACTTTCAAGTAATTTGAAAACGAAAGTAACAGAGGGATAATAAAATAATAATAAAAGATAATCGTGACGGTACAATTTAACGACAGCATAAACCAGTGGACGATTTTTCATTTGCAAAGTGATCCAGAAAAGTCCGTTTAATAATATTTCTTTCATAAAAAACGAAATTTGTTTCGACTTTCGAAGAATTTCTTGGAGAATGTTCCACGTATCTCCGCGCGAAATGCACGTACTTAGTTATTTAGAGTAAGAGGTTGCTTATCGAGTCGGAGATCATATGCTTTGAAATCGCTAAAAATTCTCAACAACTCGACGAGCACACGACGATTTTTATCAGCAAGAACGGCAAAGTAAAGTGGCAACGCGCTTGAATCTTCCTGAATACGATAACATAGTACTCGATTCATTAAAACGTGACCGTTGTGTCACATTTATCGCTTTCAAGCACATATTGACTCGAGATATTTATTAAAACCCAAGTTCGTTCCACTGTTGATCTGATCGTAAATCATACCGGATCTAGAGTAGTTTGATTGGTTAATTGAAACAAAAAAGAAAAAGAAAGAAACTTTGAAAGTAAATTACTCGACGACACAGACGCAAGATAAGAACTTAATGTTCTGTGTTCCTCTCTCTATGAATATTCATTTCTGGTTGCTGTGTCTACGTGTAAAACAGACTACGGTTCAAGGACATAGCGTGAAGCCGATAGCCGATTCTCTGCAACAATCGATACACAATTTCTCTTTCAATTTCGCACGGTGAATCGGATTCGAAAATTGAGGATCGCTCAAGTATCATATGTATATACTGATATTCCTCCGATTCCTCACACGTTTTGAGCTTCTTCGTTTTTTCTTCGTTTGAAATATTCTCACCAACTTCCCCTTCTCCTTCTCGTCGTTCTCGAAGAGTTGTTTCTTCACGCTACGCCGATTATCAACAACGACGACAACAATATCTAGCTACAACATCGAAGAACATCGAATTGTTGTTGTTTCATAATTCACATTAGTTTTTTTTTTCTTTTTTTTTTTTTCTTCTTTTTGGTTATACATTTTTCGTTAATGCATGTTCAATCCCTGGCGGTCAGTCTGAATCTAATTGACAATGTGTATGTACCAAGAAAAGTTTCTCTTCGTTTCTAGCAAAAACTTGTTGCCTCTTCATCTTCGTCTTTGCATTTCGTTCTCCATTCCGTTCTTCTCTCTCTCTCTTTTTTTTTTTTTGTTTTGTTTTGTCTTTTTATAACGGTGTTGCTGTTTCTCTTCTGCTCTAACTCGCTAAACGTCCACTAGTCAACTACGATTATAGATACATATACTTCTTTTTTTTTTTCTTTTTTTTTTTTTGCGATTATTACAGCACGAGTAATAATTCTCGCGTGAGCTTTTATTTATATAGTTACTTAGTTGTTTCTCTCCTCCACTTTGGCTGTGGCGGAGGGTTCCTTGCTCGTTTCTATCTCTATTTCCGCTACGGAAATGCACCTCGATACACGAAACGGAGAAAGCTAGGACGACGCTTATTACTCGGTTCTTCCACTATGGTTAAATACAGCGAGCTAAGTTAAGTTTCATATTCGTAGGTGTTTCGTGAACGTTGTGATCATTCATTTTCGAATTGTCGAATCTTCGACGACACCTCGACACCCTTCTACTGTCAGAAGAATTTACAATGTACACGTCACTGGTAAAAATAAATCGAATTTTCCCTTCTTTCACTTTGCCTCTCGATTCGGAATAAACTTCTACAGACAGATTGAATTTTCATTCTTCTCGCGCTATTTTCTTTCCTATCAAGAAATTGTAATACGCAACGAGATGGAATTCGAAACTGGCTAGAGAGAGGGGTTCTGATTTCTCGACAAGATCTGACAGGAGAAAGATATCGGTTTCAAGCGGATCGAAACATACACCGCGCTCGAACTTTGTTTAAATCATCGGATATCATTGTACTTGTCGCGATGGACGTCGGTTCGATTCTTTTCTCGAGGTAACGTTCGAGCTCGCACGCAAACATGTATGTGTATCGCAACCGACCTCGTACAAGAAAAAAAAGGAGTATTTCGTCGTTCGATATTGTTAGGATCTCTCTTGATTTCGCAAGATGGTTCACGCTTAATCTACGATTTTCATTCAGTGGAGGCAGTAGCGTGTATTTCGGATCAGACGACATCTACTAGTGTTTAAGAATGTTTCTGAAGTTCGGTGAAGTTCGTTCCGAAGACAGAAGAACATGAATCCTTCCGGGCAGTTCTCATTTTCCCCCTCTCATTTCTTCGGTAACAGACGTGTCTCTCGAAACGTGTTGAAAAATTTCGATAGCATTTAGAAAAAGAAAAAAATCTGTACAAACAGTGTCCTGACAAAGCGAATTAGTCTGCGCAGATGACCCTCTGATAATTTTATATTATACTTGAACGTTAGGAACTCATTCTCAAATTTCGCCCGATGAGACAAAATTACAGAACGTAAAAGGAAATTATACAACTAAGAAAGTACATAACGTACGTTTTCCTGTCGCATTATGCGGTCGCCAATAAGACAAGAAGAACACAAGGAACAAAAATGAACGAAGAAAACGAAAAGTAAAAACGTATCTTTTCTCAGACACACATATCATCTTCTTTTTTTTTTTTTTTTTTTATTTCACGTTACAATATTACATTTATTACCGTGGATTTTCGGCATTCAGAGGCGAGGGTCGTGAGTCGTTCTTCTTTTTTTCTTTTTTTTTTTTCCAAACAGAAATTAAAGAGAAAAATTTGCCACGGTCGAGCACACTTCGCTTCTCTTTTTTTCCTCTTTTTCTTTCATCGCGTCTCTATGTAAATTGGTATTGTCCTGGCTGATATACATATATTGTACATTATTATCAGAGATTTCCATCTGGAACCATTGTTTTTTTTTTTTTTTTTTTTCCCCTCTCTCACCCTGCCACGAAAGAAACAACTGTCCCGAGTGACACACTCGAAGCGAACTTCCTCCTTTTTTTCCTTTTCTATATTTTCAAACCGCTCTTTTATCTCGGTTTTTCTATGTTCTTCTTTAACTCCTTAGTATCACAAGAGTGCGCCTATAGACGCCTATAAACTTTAATACGTCCTAGACAACGCTATGATCGTGTTACTTGAAAACTATGCCTAACAGAAAGTTGATAGGTAGGCTACACGCAATTTGAATACACCTAAGTATTTTGTGCTCTCCGTGGCTGCGTTTCCCGCTCCTTTCTCTTCTCTTTCTCTCGAAATATATTTCTCCAATTTTGTTCCACTGTGTCTAGAAACCATGCTCCGTAAGGTTCTCTCCACTTCAAACCAAGACGATCGTTTTTTCCCTTATCTTATTTTATAAAGTGCATTTCATAACCAGTGCACGGAAATACGCTCGTTCAGATTTTTACGATTTTCGTCGCTCTCCCATTTCCATTTGATCTTCGAGCCCGATCCACGCCGGTAGTGAATATAATCAGAAACAACCGTGTGTTTTCCGCTATATCGCGTGGTGCTGCTTTAAAAAAAGAAAAAGAAAAAAAAAAAAAGAAATTCTTCGTCATTAAACTGAGCGAAACCACGGCTGATTTTAACGCAATTAACGCAGTTCAGTGACGTTGTTTTTTAAAGCAGTACTCTATGGAAGATCGAAAATCGTAGAAAGTCGTCACGAGAGTCGCGGGAACTGTTCCTGATAAAATGGAAGGAATGGCAAAACTGGTGTGTCTCGCTACGGTACGAAATGTGGGCGTCTCAGTTTCCTTTCTCTCTTTTCTCCTCGGTGTTACATCTGGTTGTGAAAACTGCTAAGAGAATCCTTCTCGCAACAAACTGGAGAACTCGCCTTTCAGATATATCTTCGTTTCGCACACTCTTTGACCCTTCGATTCGGAGATCAAGTCAATTACCAAAAATCTAACGAAGCGTGTGTTTTCTTTTTCTTCTTCTTTTTTTTTTTTTTTCTTTTCTTTTAATTTTACTGTTAAACAACGTTTAGTATCTAGCATTGTTCTCTCGGTTCTCGAACGGAAAAATTCACGGTTTAAAAAGCGGTAGAAACGATGGGTTCTCTCGCGACAGTCTATCGATTCTAAGTTAATTCACAGTAGTAAAGAGATAACTATAAGCTCGAGACAGTTTTCCCTTTTTTTTTCTGGTCGTGTCCTACGTCTTCATGGTTGTGTGTGTTTCTCACGACTGACATCGGGTTCGCTGATCCTCAGAGCCGAGCGAAATGCTGTTCGCAGTGTAGAAAAACTTTACAACATCTTGCAAAATACTTTCTGCTCGTTGAATGAATCGCAAACATAAATGTTAAACAGTGCATCGCGCTGGTGAATACTGTGAATTCGTTTATATATATATATATGTATCTCGGTTCATTCATCGAACGAGAAAGCTACAAACGGTGTTATTAAGAGCGTGTAACGAAAAAGAGTCTCGATTGCCACGGCGAGATATTCCTCTTTATTGTCAGAGTTTTGCATGATGCTCCCACGAAGAGATGTGTAACCGCAAGAGCGTCGACGCAACGACACTTTCTTTCCTTTCGACTCTGATCTGGAGGATCTTGTTACATATATTCTATAGTATTGAGTAGAACTGAAAGTACAGCGAGTTTCTTTTTCTTTTTTACGTGATTTTGATTACGCGTAAGTGCTCTATAGCAGAGGGAGAGAAAGAGAGCGAAGCGAGGCACAGGCGTGTGTGTTCGTTGTGGTCATTCGAGACACAAGAAGCGAACGCGCTGCTCTGATCTTCTAATTCGCGTGTTTCTACGATTTCTGGTTCGCATTTCATCGTGTCGATAATATGTATATATATATTATTTAATCGGTAACGTGCTTTTTAATCTCTTTCAACGATTTTCACGAAACTGCTTATCTACTTCTTCTTCTCCTGAAACTATCCTTTGTTTTCAGTTACCTAGGATCTTTCAACATCCAGAATATCATCCCATCGATTCGATTCAGTGGTGTATGTTGCTCGTGATCGTTTTCGAATCGATACCGTATGTTTTTCGTGTACATATATATATATATAATCGGTGTGTGTGTCCTTCGGGATATACATGTGAGACAAACTACACAGAGTGTCTTCTGCAACGTGTGTGTTTTCTCTTTCTTTAGCGTGGTATCATATGTTGTATGCTTTTTTCTCCTTCTTTAAAATTAACTTCTTTTTTTTCTTTTTCTTTTTTTTTTGTTTGTTTGTTATCTTAAACGATCTCGTAATATATATATTTACATTTATCTATCTACAATAAACTACACATCAACAAATACGGTTAGTTTAGCATTCTCGTAGTGTCGTGTTTTTCATCACGGTATTGTATCATCGTTATCATCATTAGCGTGATCCATTATGCATGTATCCATATATCGATCGATTCGTGACTTTTCTTTCGTCTTTCTCGCATTACATTGTACCGAATCTCTCCGTCATAGAGACGTATCCGTTTCTCCCTTTCAATCTCGATCACCATTCACACTTTCATCTCATTCTCTTCCCTTTTACTCGCCATCGTTGATCATCGTTAACACATATCGACGATCTTGTGATAATCTCCCATAAACGACGCACTATTACTAGTATCAATTAACGTTATAATTATACTCGCGACTAGTTCGAAGGCAACACCACGACCATAATCATAATCATCGTCGTCGTCATCATCGTACGTAACAAACAAATTCATTCATCATCGTGGTCGATCCTTCGATCCTTTTTACTAGAGAAAGAAAAAAAATAAAATAAAATAAAAACGAACGCCACGCGATCGCGTGAAATCAGAATTATCAACAAAAGTAACGACTCATTCAACGCGAAAACACATATACGCGAGTGTTTGTGGATATATACGTAAAAAAAAAAAAAAAAAAAAAAAAAAAAGAATCAAACAAACGTAGGACGATCGAAACGAGAAAATCGATCAGCAGTCATTCGCAGTCCTTGGTTTACAACTTGCTTGCTGCCCCAAATCTCCCATTATCAACTTCTTTTTTTTCTCTACTATACTTCGTTACAATAAAAATTACAGCTCTTCGCACGTCTCTCTCACTCTCACTCTCACTCGAAAAATCTCCTATTGACTTTTAACAAAATACGTCTGCGGGGGTTTTTTTCTCTCTGTTTTAAAAATCTATCGACGGTTAGCCGAGCTAACCCGGCAAATCCCGTTGATCGGCAATTTTAATCTCCTCTGGTAAAAATGTCTCTCTCGACGCCAATTGTCATCCTCCGTGTTGTGATATCTCACGACAATTCCATTCCACCACACCGCGCTCTGAGACTCACTCTCCCTCTCACTCTCTCTCTCTCTCTCTCAGGATTCAGGTCAGATTAGGCTGCGGCGAGGGCGTAGTTGCGGACAAGGTGTACGAGGAGGCTGTGTCCTATATGAACGCCCAACACTCCAGCGTTTTCACAACGAAGTCTTCTCGGGGCGCGAGCGGCTCGTTCCCATAAGTGCTGCACGTTTGTGTCCTGCCTTGGTACAGGTCCCCGTCCAGCCACAGTCCGAATTTTCCACTGGGAAAGCGATAAGATATTATTTGTTAGCCTCTAGTGGACTTTAAATCGACTGGACATCGATCGACACACTCGGCCAGTAATTTCCGACTATTTCTAAAAAATTTTTTTCCCCGAGGTCGTTAGCGATGAATTTTGTATATTCTATTTTACACGTGGAAATGGAAATCTACCAACGTTAGTAAACAAATTTTGAATTCAAAATGAGTACAAATTTAATGTTACGTTATTACAAATGATAATAAAAAAATATTGATAGGATTGATGATAATATACAATTCTAATTATTTTTGTTGTATTTTTTAAAACATTTGACAATCTAATTAATAAAATGACTCAGAGTTTATTCGTGTTTGTTGTAATTAAGGTAACAAAACAAATATAATAAAAATAAAATAACGAAACAAAAATACAATAAAAATAAAATAACGAAATAAAAATACAATAAAAATGAAATAACAAAACAAAAATATAACAAAAATAAAATAACGAAACAAAAATATAATAAAAACAAAATAACGAAACAAAAATACAATAAAAATGAAATAACAAAACAAAAATATAACAAAAATAAAATAAAAATAAAATAAGGAAACAAAAATAAAACAACGAAATATAATAACCAAATTCGTGCATTTAAACACTAACTTAATTTTATAAATTTCTATCTGACTCTCCTCTCATTGAAACGGTCTGCTATTAATTAATTAATCAATTGATACAAATTTTTTTATTAAATGCTTCCCCTATGGAAAAAATTCCACAGAGACGAAAGAGGAGTAATGAAAGTCACCCTTGACCACCAACCTTGAGACCACAGAGTTTCATAACAAAATTAATCCACATTGGCATAAGTGTAATCTCTTCAATGATCCCTTACTAAATCCACTGTTTGTATAATGAAATTAACATACTCTGTCTTCAATGATCCCTTGCTAAATCCACTGTTTGTATAATGAAATTAACATATTCTGTCTCGTCGTAGGAGTATTCACCGATCCAATGAAAGGAAAGTCGAAGTACACTTGAAAATGTTGAAAAATGGTCACTTACTCCCCGGCGCCGATGGACAGGCTTTCGTTGTTACCCTTGATGAAGTAAAGATTGTCGCCGGTCCAGTGGAACGCCTGGAATTTCGGCGTGAATTTGAAGAGGAGGGACTCGCCGGTTCCGTAGAAATGGTCGCTCACGTGCAGCGAGCACGAGGTCAACGCACCAAATACCTGTAAACCACGAGATTGCAACAGATGATTCACCGGCTGCGAAGGAACTGTATAACGAGGCACGTAAATGAATCCTCCTTCTCTGCCTCGAGGCGTGCATTTCGGCGAATATGCGCGTCACTTTGTTCAGTCGCGGTCACTTTATTTCGTTTTACTTTCGATTCAGAGGTGGAGAGGGATCGAGAAATCTCTCCGGGCCTTTAATCTCAGGAAAATTATATTTCTTGAATTAATTACAAAATCTTCGCGATAGGGGATGAAAAATATTTCTCTGCGCTCTAAGGAAAATTCTAAGGAAATTTTAAGGATTTTCAATCGATTAGAGTTCGAAAGAGGTTCGTAGAATAAAAATAATTTAATATTATGATAAAATATTTTCGATTCAGAGAAGGAAATCTCTTCGGGCCTCTAATCTCAAGAATATTATATTTATTATATTTTAATATTTTATATTTTTAATATTATATTTATTATTATATTTTATATTTTTAATATTGTATTTATTATATTTTAATATTTTATATTTTTACTATTGTATTTATTATATTTTCTTGATATATTTACTTTATTTCGCAATAGGGGATGAAAAAAAGAAGAAAAATATTTATTTTTCGCGCTCATTCCAAGAAAATTACATCGATTTTCAATCTATCTAAAATTGAAAAGAGATTTGTAGAATAAAAATAATTTGATATTATTTATTATTAATGATACAATAATTTAATATTTTCGATCCAAAGGGGGAGGCGGGATCCAAAAAAATCCCTAAGTTCAAGAATATTATATTTCTTGACGAATTTACTATAAAATCTTCGCAATAGAGAAAAAGAGGAAAAGAAAAAGAAAAGAAATATTTCTCTTCCAAGGAAGTTGCATCGATTTGCATCCATCAAAATTCAAACGACAAGATAAAAATAAAAATAGTCTTAATATAGTCTAAAAATATCACGACAAGCGTTTATAGTTTAACGTCACGATAGGAAAAAAAAAAAAAAGATAGCTTAATATTATAATATAAACTACGAATATAATGTAATACAATCAGTATAATATTACGACGAGTAAGGAAATTCCAAGTAGAAAGTTTCCCTCTTAACTTACATTGCCCTCTGTATCTTCTATCACCAAGAGGATCGGGCTCTCTACCTTGGCCATTTTCCTGTACATGCTGTTCAGACTAAATCCATGTTGGCTGGTGCTGAAGACGAGGGTCCAGAGGTATCCCTCCGCCCTGGCTGGCAGGTGCCGGCACAGTTGTTCCCTGTGCTCGTCGCTGAGGATCTCAGTGGTGCCAACCAGGTCGGGAACGATGACGTCGTTGTCTATGGAGACGGCGCTGTTCGTGTACAGAGCTCGCCTGAGCTCCTCGCTCATAGACAGTACCTAGAAGGTTAAATTCAACTGTCAGTTGAGAAACTGGATGATTCCGCTTGCTTCGCGGAAGAATCGGTGGAGGGATCTACGAGATCGATCGCTGAGTTTGTCGCCTCGAAGTCGCCAACGATTTTATTCTGGACATTTTTTTTCCACCAGAAGAAGATATTATTTTTCATCGAGAATTTCTTAACTGAAAAAGAGCAGCGCGACGCTTTTAGACTTTTTCTTTCTTCTTGCGTAAGAATTTTCTTTTCACTCTTGCGGAATGAGGAAGCTAGGATGATATTTCATGGGATATACGTCTACGAAAGTTTTACACGCGAAAGCTTTTAATAACCCTCGAGACGTTGAATATTTTCGATAGATATGTATCGTCGAAGTTCCTTGCGAGAGTTTCGCAAGAAGCTTCCACTCTTCAGTGAAAAATTGGCTTTAATTTTGACGATGGTTGAAAGTCTGTTCTGATTTCGCGTTTTTTAAAGTTGCATTTTATTTTTATTACCGCGCGCGAGAAGCAGCTTTTTCAGAAACGAAGCCTCGAGAAAAAGTCTTTTGAAACGACTTATAATTAATGAAAAAATTGTTTGGAAATTTAAATTACTTAGAAAAAGGCAAGAGAGACTTCGGTCACAAGCTGCGACTGATTGGACTTCGATCCTTTCAACATCCGGAGAAAATTGTTCTTTTCTAAACTGCTGTCCCACGATTTTACAAGAAAAAAAGATACTAATATATATATTAAATATTAATATCAAATTAAAATTAAATCAATATTAAATATTAAATATTAAATATTAAATATTAATATTAAATTAAAATTAAATCAATATTAAATATTAATAGTATTAATATATATTAAAATTCTGCATCAGTTTGATTGAAAACAAATACACAAATTTGTGAAAATATCATGAAAATTATATTTATAACATATTAAAGAAACACAATGTAACACGATAAATATACTATTTACAAATTTGTAGGAAATTTATAGAAAGGATTAACGACGCCCTCAGCGATCAGGAAAGGATTCTCTCAAGTGTGGCATTATATCGAAAGATGGAACATTATCGGTGGTAATGAAACAACTAGGGGAACCAGGTACCATCTTGGTCATCTAAGCCTAAAAATTCTAAGTCTAACACATCTAAAGACAAATACCACTACGCATTCACAAGTGTGGCATGTTTGTAATTGTTGTTTTGCTATGTTGGTAGAGTAGTCTTGGTGTATCCTGGCTGAGGAGAGGAGTTGTAAAGACAGACACACATATGTATTAAATTATAAATATTTACACGGAGAAGGATAGACGTAGATCTCGCGCATTACGGCTAAGATCGCTAACTGCGACTGCCTTGAACTTTCTTTCTTAGAGAGGTCAATAGAACATTATGCAACTCATCTTCAACCCGCTATAACCACAGTCGATGGAATATACGTGAGCAATTTTTCTTCTTTTTCTTTTTTTTTTTTATTTATTTGTTTGTTTAGAGTTGTAAGACCTTGTTCGAATATTAGAATAAAAATCAAAAGATCAAACTACTCTTCGTTTACGTGAAAGAGAATTTATATTTTTTGTATTTATTTATACTATATCTATTTTATAATATATAATATATATAATAGTATATTTATTTATACTATATTTTTTGCAATTTTATTCCACGTGGAAAATCATGACTCTTTATTTAAAAAAAAAAAAAAAAGATCTGTTCTCTTTGTTAAAATGTTAAAATGCGAAATTCAACTAAACGCGATAAATTCGCCAACACGAGTTGCCTCTCTTGAGACATAGTCACGTTATCATTGCACGTTGTGTTATTCTGTTCGTTGATTCGTACGCCTTGAATCACATCGCGCACCTGCCTCGAACGATAAGAATTTATAAGACGTAATCGTCTCTCGCAGGATTACACCACTGACTGACGCCTCGTTGCTCCCCGTCAGAACTTTCCGTCTCATTCATCATCATTAAAAACTATGTACAACAACTGTGAACGAACTGATAAATCTGCTCTCGAAGATCTTCCCGATGAGAACACTTATTGCTAGTAGCATTTTTACGAGAGACGGTGCACGGCAAATGCGATGGGAGAGAATTCAAGAACTCGAGACTTCAAATATTTACGGATTCAAGTTTATAATGCAACGCCAACGTTTTTCGTGATTATGCTTTGTAATTAATCCTTCGGTCGACGTTACCCCCTAGCGAAGAGATAACAAAGTAGCAGAGTATCAATTTTCAAAGGAGAGAGAAAGGCGACGAATTATTGTGTGACGATTCGGTCACTCGTTATGGTCCGCGAACCGTGTTGCCAGCGCAACGTGTTGAAAAGGTCGACGTGCACGAAGAAATTTCTGCAAACGTAAGAAACATAATCGGCGAGTGTAAATCGAGGGAAGAGAGGGTATGATCTTGTTTACAGAGTTGATTTCCCTGCCTCGTGGCAAACGATAACTAGGTGAGGATATAACGAAATGCATAGCGAGAGTTTTTATCAGAAAAGGTTGCCTTGAACCGTGACATCAACCTCTATCTCTTGTAAACGGTCACGGCAAAAATTGACGTTTAATCGCGAGAAAAAAAAGAGAGGGAGCGAGAGAGAGAGAGAGAGAGCGTAAAAATTTTCGTCGACAACAACGAGAAGACTTCTTCTTGCAAACAAGCAACTTTACGCTTCGTTACGTTTAACCATAAATTATTTAATAATCATCGATCGCGACGTATTGAATCGTTCTTTCGACAAATGATTATTCTCGTTTGTTGTTCTCATCGGTCTGTCACGTGACTCGTAGACCTGTTACTTGAACTTCTGACTCGACGATTACTTTTTTTTTTTTCTCCAGTGAGTTCATCAATAATTTGATAATTTTCGTTGCAGCTAATTAGAAAGTTCATTTTTCTTCTTTTTTCTTTATTCTTTCTTGCCGGCGTATTCGTTAACGATAGATAATGATATTCGCGACAGGGCACGCGAATCGATCGAGGTCTCTCCCTCTTATAGTGTGTCACGCACTGTAAAAACCAGTCGCCGTGGAAACGAGCTCGTCAGAATCGGTGAACAGTTACGCTACCGATTTGTGGAGAAATGGGAGGGTTAATTTCTAGCAATGTTCGTTCGAGAGAAAGCAGAGAATATAAAACGAAATCACAGTCACTATAATCTTCGATAGAATCACTTTCTAATTAAATTATAAAATTTTTTTAAATAACAAAATCTCTCCTGTAATTATAAAAATTCCTTGACAAAATTTTCCCTACAATTATAAAATTTCTTAACAAAATTTCCCCTATAATTATAAAATTCCTTGACAAAAAAGTTTCCGCTACAATTACAAAATTTTTCAACGCGTGTCGCGTTCCAATTTTCCGGGCAGAAATTCTCTCAAAATATCAGCGTTAGCGTATTCTAACAATTGCGCTAATTATTAGAAACGGCAACACGTACATACACGTAGGGCGCGAGGTTCAATAAATAATAATTGTTCGTCGATGCCTACACGCGAGCCATTTTCGTATTGAAATGTAGATTCCAGATTCTTGCGTGGATTTTCTATCGTTTCCTAGCGTTTTAAACCGAGGCGTTCCGCGATGGATCAATCAGGATGGCGTAACGAGATTTCTACGGGGGCACCACCATCGTGTTCTCGCGTGCGTCACCTCGATACACGATAACCGAGGTCGCGGCAGCAAGCCGAGATGCAAGCCGAAAAAAATGATCAAAATAACGCGGTTTTATCACATGTACATGTATCAGTGGTTGTGTTTGTGATTACTCTACAGATCGAACAAACGGGGAAATCACGTGTCCTCGTTCGCATTTTTATAGATAAAAATTACTCTTCGAGATGTTTATGTATCATTATATACTTTATTTAACTTGGAGGACAGAAATTGCTTAATATAAACAATTTGATGCAAATAAAAATAAATTTATATAACAGAAAAAATATATATATATATTTTTTGTTAGAATTATTATAGTATTATGTTGTTATATGTTATACACATAATTATATGTTGTTATTATATTATATTATATATAATATATTTATGTTGTTTTATATATATATAATATAATTACGTAGTATATTATATAAAAAGTAAATATTAATATTAAATAGTACATATTAAATTAAAATATATATTATTAATAATAGAAAGTATGTATTATATATTAAATAATATATTATATATTATACTCATGTTGTTGTTATATACATAATTATACGTTGTCATTATATTATAATTATATGTTGTCCTTATACTTTAGTACAATATAATACAGCACAATAACAACTTATAATTACGTATAAATAATATAGCGATAACACATATGTAAGAACATAGTAATGTAATAATTCCGACCAATAATTCCAACAATACAGTAACATAACAATTTCAATTAATAATTCTAATTAATAAACCACAAATTCCAATCCTCCATATAAACGTTACACCTGTAAATTTTTCTCTTAAAATTGATCTACTATACATGCAGATAAAAATCCTCTTCGAAGTTCGTTTCCACTATTTAACCACTTGCGTTGGTACCTGATTGCGGACCATAACGAGTGACCAAAACCGTATACAGTAACACGTCGCTTTCTTTCTGAACTCGATCGGTACGATATCACTGGATGGAAATTATCGAGAAGTAATAAATTTTTTAAATTATTTGTTTTGCCTGGATTATACTTAAATATATTTAAAACCGAGAAAACATTGCAATTTAGGGACAAAAAGTTCTCGACGTGCGTCGTGGCACGTCATTCCAGCGCAAGAAATTAAAAGGCTTCTTTAATCACTTGCGCCGGCAACTTGATTGCGGACCATAACGAGTGACCGAACCGTACACAACAATTCGTCGCTTTCTTTTTGAACTCGTCAGTATTATATTACTGAACAGAAATTATTGAGAAGTAATTTAACAAATTTATCATTCGTTTTGTCTGGTTTATAATTAAACTGTGAAAACATTGCAATTTTGGGACGAAAAGTTCTCGACGTGCGTGGCACGTCTCATTCCAGCGCAAGAGGTTAAAAAGTCAATAAACAACGTTCAACAAGCGTTTAACTTGAAGTGGCGCACTTTGATCGAGGCTCTCTCTCTCTCTCTCTCTCTCTCTCTCTCTCTCTGGCTTTGTGGTTCTTCCGGAAGGTCGATTTCCGCCACGCGACCTCTCCGGATGCACGGCGCGACCTCGAAATTTCACGGCGAACACACGACGCAACGAAAGCGTGCATCGATCAGTCCGTTTATTTCTCGTTTCTCGCCTTCTTCGAGCGTGTGTAATGGCGCCGTCCCGCCCACGCGAGGCTCCACCGAGGACAAAGACGGTTTCACCTCATGAATTCTCAGTTCTCCGCTGCGTGCTTGAGAGAGAGAGAGAGAGAGAGAGAGAGAGAGCGAGTGCTCGCGTATATTTCGCGAAAACTTCGGGAAAACATGTTGCGTCGTGACGTTATGCAATCGCACGATGATTTATTACGCGCCAAGACGTACATATTTATTAATCCGATTCGCTCGATCGGAACGAATTCGATTCGTCCGCGTTATTATACGCGTTAGAGTTACTTAAAAAAGTAACTGGCGGTTGAACGAGTGAAAAACAGCGTGGAGAATAGATTGTCTCACCGAGAGCATCCTCGAGGAGTGTTGGAACACATACTTGAGAATCGGACACGGATTGATGATCATGACGAATTTTTAGCTAACCGAAACTAACGACGATTTTGTTAAAATTCAGTTTTACACGACGACGAAGTTATTCCCTTTCTTTTTTTTTTTTTTTTTTTTTGGAGTTAGTCTAATTTTTGTACTCGAATAATTCTCCAGTACACGATGGTCACAATATCAATTAGTTCTGTGTGAATTCACTCGTTAATCACCTACCAATTAGATGATTAAAAACGTCACAGTAAATGAATTTTCTAATCCCGATCAACTTTCACCAATTATATTAAATATTGAAAGACAATTATTTGATATTTATATTATAATAAATATTAAATAATTATTATATATTTATATTAAAATAAATATTGAATAATTATTACATATTTACATATAACAAATAAATATTATATATTTATATTATAATAATTAATTAAATAAATATTATATATTTATATTATAATAAATAATAATTATTTAATATTTATATCACATATAATATTCGTAAATTGTCAATTTTATCAAGTTATTACAAAAATTTGAACGAACTATCGAAGAAAAATCGTTGGAGAATCCGGTTGATCCGACGAATCGTTCGATACTGAGGCTCAAAATGGTTCTCTCTCTCTCTCTGTTCAAACGACCATCGATTCTGGCAAAAAATCTGGCTAAAGACCGGCTTACTTTCGTCTTTCCTCTCGTTTAATGTCAAGTACGCGCAAATCTCTCGGGCAACTCGCCCTCGTCCTCGAGAGCATTATTCCCGATCGTCCTTCGACACAGTTTCGCTGACAATGATGAGACGCCTATAAATCAGCCGATTTTTCCATCTGTCCTTCTCGAGGGCTCTGTTATCGCTTTTCCCTTTCCATTTCTCTGTTTCGTTTTTTTTTTTTTTGTAGGAGTTCAATTGTTGAGAAAAACAACAGAGAAATAACAGGAGATGCAAAACTCAACAAGTTAGAGCAAAAAAGATTGTGAGACTTTTGAATTTTGAATATTGAAAAATTACTTTTGTGAGAATCTGCAAAAATCTGAAAGCCTGGATATTGTAAAATCTGCGAAATTTGGAGCATCGAGTATCCTGAAATTTGCAAGTTTTCGTGAAACAGAAAATGTGGAGATTTTTAAATTTTCTAGAAAATTTTTTAAATATTCCAATACTTCTAGAAAATCGTGGAATTTTTAAACGTTGGAGATATGAAAAATTACGCGGTCTGCGAAAATTTAAAAATCTAGAAAATTTACAAAATTTAGAAAATCTAGAAAATTTACAAAATTTAAAAAATCTAGAAAATTTACAAAATTTGAAAAATCTAGAAAATTTGGAAAATTTGAAAAATCTAGAAAATTTGCAAAATTTGAAAAATCTAGAAAATTTACAAATTTTAGAAAATCTAGAAAATTTACAAAATCTAGAAAATTTGCAAAATTTGGAAAATCTAGAAAATTTACAAAATTTACAAAATTGAGAGTCTCAGGTACTCTGAAGTTTGCAAGCCGTCAAGAAATGGAGGAACGACGGTTTTCTCGAAATTCTCGAGAAAATTAAAACTAAAATTGAAAATTTGACATCCGGAGAATTTGAAGAATAAAAATTTGCAGATTCTCGAAAACTCGTCCTCCCGTCCTACGATATCTAGCTTTTATCACTCCATTTTATTAACTTGCCTCCGAGCAGCGGATCTCGGAGATCCAAACGAGATCGAGCAAAACTAGATCGAAGTGTCGATCGCCGGCGATAATTCAAATGTCAAATCTCGTTCGATTTCACAATGAATTTTGACCCAGGCGCGCCATTGAATTGCGACTCGTTTCGACAAAAAACAAAAGAAACGAAAAGTTTTCAACAAAAGACTCGTTTCGACAAAAAACAAAAGAAACGAAAAGTTTTGACAAAAAGTCCGAGTGTAAATCATAACGATTTAAGATGCAAACGAAAGTCATTATTAAAAATTATGATTATTCATCGTGGTTCGATCAATAGTTATAAATATTATTATACGACGGGCTTCTCGTCGATCGAGGTTTTTTTTTCAATAGGATTCCTCACGTGTTTTTAGCGATTGAATTAATGACGTAATTACATACGTCTGCTTGCTACGTACACACGTGTTTTCATTTTCTTTTATTTTCCAGCCTTGCCAACGGTTAATTAAAATATGAATATACAACGAGATTGTACCAGTCGATAGACGTCTCCGATTAGTGCAAAAGCAAATCTGAAGACAAGGAGAGAGAGAGAGAGAGAGAGAGAGAGAGAGAGAGAGAGAGAAACATTGTCGAAGAATCGATCTCACAAATTTTCTGAGAATCTTTCAAATCAGTCGAAGGAGAACTCGCGCGCAACAAGAGAAGGAAACGAGATTGCGAATAATTAAGAGATTGAGAAGAATTCTGCCGGATAAATTTATAACAAAGGGTACATTATAATCAAAGTGGCCCAATTGGGGGCAATTTCGTTCGTAAACGAGCTGAACCAGCATTCGTCGCGTTTTACGCGCGCGGAATTATGTAATTTAACAATAAAGCACACGACGATCTCGTTCGCACCTTCGAGAGAGTAACAAGTACGACCTTTTCGTTCACGGTGTCACTATAATCAGGTTGACTTCTGTGCATTACGTGCATTATGAAAAAACGTGACGTTAAATTCGGAAACGAAGAATTAGAAACATGTTCTCTAGAGAACATGTCGCGCCACCTGAACAGCTTGAAATTCTTTTTTTCGACGTTTCCCTTCACCACGCGTCGATCTTTGCTAATACGAATCGGTGCACCTTGCAGCGAAATTTCAACTGTCAACTCAACTTCAAAGTAAATTAGACGAAAATTATTTATAAAAGCGTTTAACTCGACATCAAACATGCATATTTTGGCATGTAATAAATGGCGGAATGATATCGACTCTCGGTCAGCTTCAATTTTCAACTTTGACGAGTCTCTTTTTAATCACTTGCGCTGGAACGACGTGTAATTGACACAGTAATTTAAAAACGATATATTAAAAATGTTGAATATATGTTAAAAATGTAATAGTAATTTTAGATTTAAACGATATATTAAAAAATATAAATGTATATAAGATATATTAAAATGTAATATATTTGTATATTTGGTATTGTATATATATATATTATATATATGTAATGAGACGTATTAAAATTTAATATATCTATATATTATATATTATATAAATGTATATGAGATATATTATAAATTTAATATGTTTGTATATTATATATTATATATATCATATATATGTAATAAGATATATTAAAATTTAATATATTTATATGTTATATAAATGTATTTAATATATTTATATATATGTAATTAGACATATATAAATATATATGTATATGAGATATATTAAAATTTAATATGTTTGTATATTATATATTATATATATTATATATATCCAATAAGATATATTAAAATTTAATATATTTATATATGTATTTAACATATTTAAATATATGTAATAGTAATGTAATAAGATGTACATAGATACATATGTATATAAGATACATTAAAATTTCGATAAATATATTTCGAAAAATGTATTAAAAATGGCCGTGAGAGACTCTCTTCACCTTTCCAAAATTTTCACATCCTCAGTTCATTTCACGTAGAAAGTCATTTCACATTAAAGAGTGATTAGGAAGCTCGTCAGGGAACGACGTTAACTACAAACAGGGAATTTTCCTTCCTCTTTCACGCAAGTGGACATTCTATGTGCGCGGAGAACGAATCCATCTAGCTCCGTGTTGAAAATAGATCGAGACGCGAGGCGTTTCGACGTTTCGACAACCGGACAACGCGCTCGGGAATCTCGAAGATATAGTGACGGACAGAAAAGCGAACGAAAATACACCGGCGGCGGAGGTGAAGAAGCTGCGTAGCATTTCGACACGCGAGGCCGAGGTAATTTTCCACGGCTGTGCGAGTCTTCCGCTGTGATTTTTGCAGAAACGGCTGCACACCTGACGATGAAAATCATGGAAATAGTGTAAACTGAATCAGAAATAGAACGATGGTTGATTCCAGCCAACTGTGCGTTTGGTTGTTTATTTCTTTCGTTCTTTCTTTCTTTCTATTTTTGTCTCTCTCCCTTGCCAACATTTCGATTTTCACGGTTACCCTCCGACAAAGTAAGAAAAATCTCTTTCAAAAATTGCATACTCCGCCATTGCAATTCTTCTGCAGAATGATTACTGAAATTTTCTTCTAAAAAATCTTCTTTCTTTTTTTCTTTTTCTCTCCGTCGCCAACATTTCGATTTTCACGGTTACCCTCAGACAAAGTAAGAGAAATCGATCTCTTTCAAAAATTGCATACTCCGCCATTGCGATTCTTCTGCAAAATGATTACTGAAATTTTCTTCTAAAAAATCTTCTTTCTTTCTTTTTCTCTCCGTCGTCAACATTTCGATTTTCACAGTTACCCTCAGACAAAGTAAGAAAAATCGATCTCTTTCAAAAATTGCATACTCCGCCATTGCGATTCTTCTGCAGAATGATTACTGAAATTTTCTTCTAAAAAAATGAATCGACGAAGAGTTCTGTCTTGTTTTTACTCGTAGAGTATTACGTTTCTAAAAGTCAATCGATTATAATGAAATTGTGTAATTTCAATATGAATTATTAATTTTTAAAATTTTAGACAGAAAGAGGAGATTTTCGTTTGGAAGTTTATTACAAGAAGAAAAAAGGTTTTTCCGATTTTCGAAGAAGTTATATCTAGACGAAAGAAGATAACTTTACCCTTCTTTACCCAAATACAGATACAATCAGCGAGATCGTTATTTAAGAAGATTTTCTATCCGATAGAATTGTTCGGGGATAATCGCGCCGAGTTCACGAATGAAAATTTTAATCTCAGAGAGAACGAACTGCACTTTGGAAACTCCATCCCAATTAGTAATGATGAAATCAAAGCGGTAATTGCAAATAATTCATACCGAGTTGTACAAGAATCGGTAGAAAAATGAAGAAAAAATTGTCAGAAAAGATAAATCACACACTGAATATTATTTTTGAATTAAATCATCGAGAAAGAATTATGCTTGCTACTAATGAACCCTTCTGTCAAACAAAAGATAAGTATATTAATATTTTACTTTTATTTATTAATTAATTATACCTTACGAAACCATTGAATGTTATTTTTAAACTGAACGATTGAATTGTTTAATCAAATTTATTTTATGAAAAGAAAAAAAGATACTTTAATTAAGTAATTAATTATACCATACAAACCTTATTAACCAAGAATCTTTATTAAATATTATCTTTATACTTAAAGTTTATCTTTAAACTGATTGAATTATTTTATCAAATTTATTTTATAAAAGAAAAAGATATTTGAACTATAAATAATTAATTATACCATACAAAACCCTATTAACATAGAATCTTTATTAAATATTATTTTTGAACTGAACGAATTATTTGAAAAAAAAAGACACTTCAATTAAATAATTAATTATACGTTACAAATCCTGGTTATCAAGAATTCTTATTAAATATTATTCTTAAATTCAGTGGTTGAATGATTGTCAAAAAAAAAAAAAAAAAACATTTCAATCCTTTTAATTAAATATTAAATATACTAATTGTATCTTACAAACTCTATTAATCAAAAATCCTCATTGAATATTACTTTTAAATTGAGCGATTGAATTACTTTATTACCAAAAAAAAAATTCCTTACAGATAAAATTCCTTATTTATAAAAAAATAAACCTTTTCAACTCTCCTTTCGCTTTCAATAAAAAAAAGCATAATAATCAAGAATTCTTATTAAATATTATTTTTAAATTCAGTGGCTGAATGATTGTCAAAAAAAAAAAAATTTCAATTAAATCATTTTAATTAAATATTAAATACACTAATTGTATCTTACAAACTTTATTGATCAAAAATCCTCATTGAGCGATTGAATTATTTTATTACCAAAAAAAAAAAAAAAATTCCCTATTTATAAAAAAAAACCCTTTCCAACTCTCCCTTCACTTTCAATAAAAAAAAGCATAATATGCAGAAGCGAAACGAAATCGTCTCGAATTTTCCTTCTCGTTTCACTTCGCAGCCACGTGCACGTACAACAGGAGCAAGTTCTTGCGAATTGAAACGCGTCCAGAAGATGAAACAGATGCCAGACGAACGTTGAAAACCATCGCCGGGAAGAAAGAGGGCCATTATCTGTCCGTGTTTCAACCGTGAGTAATGCCCGACAACAATTTATATTTAACGCTACCATTGATCATGCATCTTTTTTTCTTCGCCTTTCTTTCCATCTCAAGGTGAACTTTTCTTTTCACTTGAACTTCTTGATTGACAGCCTTGTTCCTTTACTTTGCATCGAAGAGAATTTTTAGCAGTTTGACTCACATTCACGTCGCGTGGCAATGCAAAACTATCGATTAAACTCGCGGTTTATGGTTTTCTGAACGACGACTCGAGATTTTATACTTTTCTTTTTCCCTGGAAAAAAGTGACAAATATTTTTACCTGAGACTCGGTGGTATTCGGAAGGCCGGGTTTCGATTTCGCTTCTGTCACTCTCGAGGTAATTTCGACCGTGTTCGAACATCGGTGAAAGTTTTGCGAGACGTTCACTGACGGGAGGACGAGCGAACACTGAGGAAAACTCGGAAGGATCTCGATTTAATAAGTCACGTTAACGAGCCAGAGGAACAGAGAACGTCAGACAAAGTTTATTCATAGACGGTGAAGCGTATTATTTTACCAGAGACGATGCACTTCTCTGGAAATAAATATTTCCATTGGTTAAATATTGTTTCCGATTCAACAATTCGGATTAATCAACTCTCTGTTTTATTAACTTTCTCGTTTCACGAGACTGTTTTTTTCTGGAACGTCACTGGCGAACTTTTAACAACAGAGCTAACAAACTTTGACGAGAATCGGATGCTTGTTTTGTCAATTATCGGAACTATACACACGCATCTGATGAAATTTACGTTTAAGATCGAGTTTCGTTTCCTTGCAAATCCTCTATATACCGTGTACACTGTTACATTCTATAAATTCTATAATAATAATACACAAATTATATAATATTATTACTACGAATATAATTCGTTACAATTCGAAAATTTTATTTACTTCATTGAACGAAACGTTTTTATCGAATTGTCGAATTACGTCGAAATTTTGTTTTATCGAACAAAGTCGGACAAAGTTTCAATCAGAATTGAACTATACTACATTACAATTATTTGACTGAACATGTACGTCGTGATAATTACATTGCAAAAATGGCAAAGGGAAGTGACAAATACTGGGACAATTGGCGAAAGAACAGCGTAGAATGTTTCCGAAGCAACCCCTCGTCAGACGAGACGATTTATTAGGGCCAGTCTGCAATTGGACACTTCTTTCTATCCAATTCTCGAGGCACGAGCCGAAATCGATCTTTCGTTTCCAGAGAGTTCCACCCTTGGTTTTTGGCTACCTCTCACAGAGGGATTTGCCAATTCGTTTCGGTTGCTCACCGATGAATAAGAAACATACGAATTCTCGAAGCTCTTCACCATACACAAAAGAACAATACTCAATCGTTCATCATTTTTAATAGACGTAAATGAGCGTAAAAAACAAAATATGAAACCATTCAACATATTTTTGCGTACCTCACCAACAATAACAAAGACATAATCATCGCCTGGGTTCCATTCTACCATGGAATCAAAGGTAACGAGGAAGTTGACATAGCAGCGAAAGAAGCAACATCGTACGTCATTCGAAGACGAATTCCTTATCAAGACCTTGTTGTAACATTACACCGTGTCGAAAAACAATTATGGAACAAAATATGGAACACCTCCAAAAAAAAACAAAAATTCATAATATAATTCAAGATTTCTATCAAACAATGTCTACCCACAACATGAAAAGAAAAGACAGGATAGTCATGACAAGGCTTAAAACAGGACACTGCAAACTCACACATGAGTATCTATTTAAAAAAAAAACAGAACCCCCAATGTGTATCCAATGCAACCGAATTTTATCAACCCATCATTTTCTGTTTGAATGCAGCAAGTATGTCAAAGGCAGAAATATAAAATAACTTTACCGATAGCCCTGACGTCGCAGAAACACATGGGAAATGTCCTGAATTATCTAAAGGAAATTAACATCTACCATAAGATATAATCGTCTTGAAAAGAAGGAAACAGTATCTAGCCGTCGCTAATGACCAGAAGGTAGATGCGACGTTAAAAAAAAAAAGAAACATACGATACACGAACTGTCGTTAATAGTTAATTGCAACGTGACACCAAGGAGGAATGATTAAAAAAGAAAAACACTCAAAAATGTATTAAGAAATAGTAAGAAAATGTGTGTTTTTTAAATTAATTCAGGCACGGTTGTCAACGAAGGACTATTTAAAACTCGATATATGGTAAATAAATTTAAGTTTTAAAGACAGAGAAAAAATAGGAAATTACCTTGAAGCAGAAAATAACGAAAAATCGAACACATTTATATTAGTTACATTTCTCTTTGAGAAAATTTTCTTTTCTTCGCAGAAGAGATTATCCTTTTAACATATTCAAATGTTTCTCAATCTCTAGAGAATTCAGTAGAAATTCTTGCCAATTTTTGTTGCCTGGGAGATGATTGGTGCACAATTATATAAACATGTCTACTTTCTCTGACGCGCATGCAAAACCTTTGAATTCGCGATTTGCTTTTAATACCGAAATCGATGGTATACCTTTTGTTACAAGTTCAATACGCGCCTTTTAGATTTTCCACCCTTTAGATTCCAAGTTTGTAAAACAACAAGTCTACATTTAGAGTTTTCAATAACAAGATCACTAAAGACTTCGATTTCGATCCTTTCAATGACTCTCGCGAGTCGCAGAGATTAACAATTAAATATAAAATACGCGAAGCAACGCAAATACATTTCTTTTTCCTTTAATAATAATTAAGGTTTCCCACGTTAAGTAAATAAATAATTGAACAAATCTCTGTATGATCCAACTTATAGATCGAGTTTCGTTTCCTTGCAAATCCTCTATATACACCGTGTAACACTGTTACATTCTATAAATTCTACAATAATAATAATAATACACAAATTATATAACATTATTACTACGAATATAATTCGTTACAAATCGAAAATTTTATTTACTTCATTGACTAATGAATTGACTTTCAGCGTTAAAACGCGACTTTGTTCATCGACAATCTTTGCAATCATTTCGCGCCAGAGAAATCAACCCGTGCGATCGAAGCATCAGGCATAGGCCGCACCCTCTGCGCGGCTGCAAAAGTCGGCGTTGCATAACTTCTGTGTTGGCGATTGGAGCGGATTCGAGCGCAGCGCGTACGTATTATACACACATCGAACGAAGCCGGATTCTGTGAAAGGTGGACCTAGGCGCGGCCAAGGACCGAGCCGCAAACAAACAGCGCCAATATCTCGCGCGTGTTCTTTTTTTTTTTTTTTTTTTTTTTTTTCCACGTTTCATAACGTTAGCCGCGCCAATAATTTTTCGTCAATAAACGTCAATTGACATTTCAACCCCTCGGTCGAAAAATATCATATCTCCTTCTAACTGTTTAGCCTCTTGCCACGCGCGTCGAGAATTTTTTTTTTTTTTTTTTTTGTCCTAAAACTGCAACGTTCCCTCAACTTTAAGTAGGCAAAACAGATAATTGAAAAGAATTCATTACTTCACGGTAATTTCTATCCAGCGAGTGCAAAGAGAGAGCGGCGAATTACTGTATACGGTTTTTGGTCACTCGTTATGGTCCGCAATCAGTTGCCCAGCCGCAAGTGGTTAAAATAGTCGGGACGAACTTCGAAGAGGGTTTTTATCTGCATGCGTAGTAGATCAATTTTAAGATTGTTTATACAGAGGATACTTTGGAACTTGTGGTTTGTTAATTGGAATTATTAATTGAAACTGTTATGTTACTGTATTGTTGGAATTATCACATTACTATATTGCTACATATGTGTTATCATTATATTATATATACATAATTCTATGTTGTCATTATATTGTATTATGTTATAGCAAAGTATAGTGACAACGTATAATTATGTATATAACATATAACAACGTGAGTATATTATATAATATTTATATATAATATATATTTTTATATAATATATAATATTTAAATATAATATATATTTTTTATATATTTTGTTTTAATAATATATTTATTGACAGTTAATGCTTTATGGGATAAATTTCGGTAACGTCGTTTGATGAAATTTTGGAAGAATGGAAAATTTTGGAAATTCGAAACGTTCGTACCGATGGAGAGAAATATAAAGATACGCCGCGTGTATTTTCATTGGTTTTCTTTTCAAGAGAGAATAACCAAATGAGAGTTTCTTTTTTAGAAACAGGTGCCAAAATTCGCGAAGAAACCCAGCCAGTCAACTGTGACTAATACAATCGCGAGACAATAATACGCGTGTCAATATTAGACTATTCTCGAGATGGTGACAAATACTTGCGCTTGATCTTCAGATCAGATAAAGAAACAAGATACAGTTCGAAGAGGAAATTCTCAGACACCATTCGTGCATGAAAATTCAAACTTTCTATCTCGCAGAAAGTCAAAGCGCGGTCTCTCTGTAATTGAAAATTAAATGTCAGCTAAAAGTCAGCAGAAAACGATAAGAAAAATTAACGTAACGTTACGTTCACTTTTCGCGATCGATCGAAACCGTCTTAAATATCCAAGGCTCGAGTTTCAAACATTGCCTGTGGATGGAACAACTTTGCAATTGGCTATAGAATTGTGAACTATCGCTTGTGAACTATGAATGAGGCCTGTTTACTAGAATAACCGAAGAAACAACGAAGGCTGTGGTCGTCGAGGGAAAGAGTCAGCTGTTCGAAACGACATGTGATGAATTGATCTGATGATGATCGATGAAGATTCGTGTAAACGTGATTTCGAGTGATCTTTCCGAAAAATTACTGCTCTCATCACTGGCTAGGCACAACTTGCACGTCAATAGCGCATCGAAATCACGATCTATAAAAAGACTATACGATCTACAAAAGAAAAATATATCATTCCTGAATCAACGAAGAGATGTAGATCGTTCACGATGGAAAAAAAAAAAAAAACGTTACATCGAGACTGACGAAAATTTTGTATATTTTATCATATATTTCAATCTCGTTGAAAAAAGCAAGAAGAATATTTTTTTATTTATTTCGATTGTATTTAATTAATTAATTGAAAAAGAGCGAAGAAAAATTTGGATGCAAAAATCACTTCCTACTACGGTCAACATTGAAATGAAATAACTTTTGAAATATAACGAAACTAAATAAAATTAGTTTTTTCATATATTTTGACATTTGATTAAAAAAAAAAAAAAAATAGGTGGGAAGAAATTTTTGGCCCATCCTATACAAAGATACGCCCTAAAATATATTTATTTTGCTTTTCTACTGCGTGAATTTATATCGAAGAAGACTTAAAAATGATAATTGTCAATGGAAAACAACCATGATTATAATTGGTAATAAAGCAATTTACATACTAACATTCATACAGACTATTTTAAAGTCTTTTTTCTGTATCACCGTGTATATTATTGCAGGAACGAGTTCTAAACAAACAAGCAACGACGTGTCAACGCGTGCACTTGAATTTATTTTTGTGATCACAATGATATTAATTTACACGACGTAAAGAACAACAAACTGTTTAATAAACATTGCAACAAAGAACCGGTTATTAACTAATCGGTGGTTAACTGGCGTTTAGTAACTAGTTCGCGGACCATAACGAGTGACCAAACCGTATACAACAATCCGTCTTCTTTTTGAATTCATCACTGGACAGAAATTATTGAGAAGTAATAAATTTATTATTTGTTTCGTATGTATTTAAAACTGAGAAAATATTGCAATTTTGGGACGAAAAATTCCCGACGTGCGTGGCACAAGAGGTTAACATCAACTGATTGCGGACCATAACGTATACAATAAATTCGTCGCTTTCTTTTTGAACTCGTCGGTATATCATTGGACAGAAATTATTGAGAATAAATTTATTATTTGTTTTGGCTATTTTGTTTTACTCAAATATACTTGAAACTGAGAAAATATTGGAATTTTGGGGCAAAGAATTCTCGACGTGCGTGACACGTCGTTCCAGCGCAAGAGGTTAATAGTACCGATCAAAATGTCAGCAACAGGTATTCTACAGTAGAATCACGTCAGTTTCGTCAAGAATTTTCCAGGAACAAAAAACGAAAAGGATCAGAAGCGAATCCGATCACTGAGAAAAATAACAAAATTCTGTTTACCTTCGTCCTCTGCTTAAGGAACTTGGAGATTTTAGTGATCGGGTTGGAAATCTTTGGTCTCGGCATTTTGACTAGACTCGTTCGCCTCTGACGCAGCGTTTCTCGAATTTTCAGCCTCCGCCGTTCTCGTCTCTTAACACCGTATATAACTTCGATATATATACTTTCCTTTGCGACTGTGATCACGGAGAAAAAACAGTTTACATTATGCACGCGTTCTCTTTTCTCACCACGACTCAATCGGTCATCGTAATCGTGAATGTTTCTGTTCTAGAAACGAAAGCACACACACACATACACACATAGGGGTGTGTTGTTAGGAAACACTTCGGTTTCTATACAATTCAACAATCTTTTATCTTTTTCCGATGTGCAAAACAAACAGACTTCCAGAAATAAGAATTCTTGGAGCTTTAATGTAGTTGTCGGGCAAGAGAAAACAACAAACTGTAAAACGACTGATAATTTCAATTGGTTCGTTTTCGCGATCGAACAAGTGCGCTTCACTTCGCGAGGACTGAAGCAACACTGTACCACCGCGCGTTCGGGGTGAGTCTAATACACCCGATCCTGGGAGAACGGTATGGTGGGGAGGGGATAGACGCGACGCGCAGCCCGGTTCGCGCAGCACGTGCGGCCTGGTGCGCGCGCACCGCCCTTCCATTCAAAATGCACATTGCAAATTTTTAATGGAAATACACGCCTCGTTTTGGATCTGTATTTGACACTTGGCAACTCGGTTTGTCTTTACTCCTTCTCTTTCGAAGGTTATCTTCCAAGGTTATCTTCTTGTGAAAATCTGATTGATTCTCGACGTTTTCGCATTTCGAGACACAATCCTGCAACTTCTGCGACTCGTAGGGAGCGTATTAAAAAATATTAGAACATTATACGAAGAAACGACACTATCAACTATCTTCGAGTTAATATAGGGGAATCTTGGATTAAAGTTCAAAAGTGACCGATGATATTTGAGGGAATCCGATCTGTCACGTGCAAATATTTGAAGCATTTAACTGGGCATACTCGATTTAACTGCGCTATTAAGATAACGCGCATACTGTCACGTCCGCCTGCCATGCAATGAAATTATTCGCTGCACCAAATACGATAATTCTTCCCGAACAGTTTTTTTTGTGCACATCGTGCAACACTCGTGCCCCGATAATCGCCGTAATTTAATCTGAAGTAACTTGAACGAAAGTTAACCTCGCGTCTGTAATTTCTTTTCTTTTTTTTAAACTAACACGATTTGAAATCCACGAGAAAGAAAATTTGAATCAAGGGGGACGAAGTTTCCGTAAACAACAATGTCAACAAGTGCTTGTCGCATGCATCTTTTTATCCTCGTTCGATTTTCAGAAGTTCAACGAAACTGTACATCGTGGAAATAAACTTTGGGATGCGACCAACGAACGGAATCACGATCGAACGTTTCCATTCCGATTCGCACTATCTTCTCGAGATTTCACGCGGTCGCTGCAAACATTTTGTTTGCGTGTTCTCAATTGCACAGGGGAATCACCGAACTTCTTACGAAATAGTATCTTCGAAAATGGAGCGAAATAACGAAAAGAATATCGATCCGACAGTTGAGTAATTGACGTTAACATTTTCACGTAAACACGATTTTCTCGTAAACAAAGCTTCAAACCAAAAAATGTTATTCCTTTTTTTCGCAATCATCATCGCCCGATGGTAACACCCTGTATATATATATATATTAGAATAGTATAATTAAATAAAAATTTATAATAAAAGCATATTTTAGTAAAAATTTGAAATTAATATTATTATTTATAGTTAACAGTGATGAAAATGAATTTTTTTAAAACTATACAAGTAAAATCTCTCTTTCTTAAAAAAGAAAAGTCTCCCTATGGAAAAAAGAAAATAAAAAGAAGAAAGGATAGTTGATGACTAGACTTCGAACACTATAAAATCACACATGAATACCTCCTAAGCAAAACAGAACCATCTTTCTGCAACACCTGCAACCAACAAATCACCACACAACATCTGCTACATGAATGCAGAAAATACGTAAGAAGCAAATATGGATTAAACCAAAACACCGCTCTAACCTGCCAAAAACAATAAAAACGTTATCAACTATTTAAAGGAGAGCCAACTACTAGACCAGATATAAAGAGAAAATTACAGCACGTCGCTAAACACTTCATAGTCGATGCGACTCTAAACTCCCATATAAAAAAAAAAATAAATACATAAATAAATAAAAAGAGAGAAAGGAGGGCGGAGAATGGGGAGAATTGAAAGAAAAGAAGAAGCCAGAGATGGAAACTGAGAGTCCCTGTCCATTGCATCCGTTATTATTGATAGCGGACAATTAGGCGTGGGCCGGGCCAACTAGATGCGCAGAAACACCAAGAATAGAAGCTCTACTATACCAATAGCAATTCTACTAGATAATAGACTACTCTAGAATCCATCAAATCCGATCACAACTCTATGATCATCAAATCATCAAAGAGAGAAACATCGAACGAAGAGAAGAATAAATCAAAACAACGAACGAGAGTGAAACATGTTTCTGAAACGTCGTTCTCACTCGACCAATTAACGCCTCGTTAATACTGTCGTTAATACTTCTTAACGTCTTGGATACGTTTGATATCATGAGCAATGCAAGCAACAACAACATACACACGACCGTGTCTATGTTTCTTCTTTTTTTTTTTTTTTTCCTTTCCGAATCACCTCGAGGCGCGTCTTCTAAGCGAATGGCAATGCAGATTACCGAGACCAGATTAATAAACGACCGTCGACAAATCTGGTTTGCACGGCAAACAAGAGCCAGTTAGATTCTTTACGCCGCTTGGTGGAAAATTTTCTGACCGGCCTACGTGATCTCAATACATCACGTACGCCATCCCGCAGCAAAATAATATGGAGGATTATTTTCTGGCGCGAGTTTAATCCGTACTTCGCTGCGCCACTCTGTGTTTTCCGGGGGATCAAGCGCGTAGAAGATTCATTTTTCGAGGAACTCGTATCACACCGAGTATCAACCCGTTTCGTTTATGAACGAAAGTTCATCTTCAGGCCTTTGAATCGAAAGGTTAATAATAAAGTTAGAGGCGAGCGAGTTAGAAGATTGTTACTTTATCGACATCTAAATTTTAACTTTGTCAAGGTTAGAAAAATATTAGACCAAAGAATAGAAAAACGACTATTTATAATATTACTGAAACAAAATTTACGGGTTGAAATTTTGTCCGTGTCTTTTTTTTTTTTTTTTAATATAAGGATTCAATTAATCGATTGATTGATTTTCAATCAGTTTGCAGCATTAATTGTACTAGAATTGTTTTTCTCTTTACACTTTGAAAGACTGTTGTTAACTTTTACTTTATTAAGACATCCTAATTTCCTAAGTCATTATTGGATGAAAAACAGAAAGTACTATTGGAAAATAAATGATTAAAAACAGAATTTACACGGGGTGGAATTTTGTCCACGACTGTCTTTAAGAATTCAACTAATTTTCGAACAATTAATCAATCGATCAATTTTTAATTGGTTTATATTATATTTCATTATTATTTTTAATTGGTTTATATTACCAATTTTTAATTTATTATACCGAAGCTTTTTGTTGAATATTATCTATTATTTTTATACTTTTTTCTAATGCATTCTCGTGGCTTAGAAAACACGGCTAAATGATGATGAAATAATGATAAACACGGCTAAATGATGATGAAATAATGATAAACACGATAATATGTTCCAAAGTTGAAGCTCCAAAAATTTCCAGTGTTATTCCATTCCCCTTGTCCAAATACTGCAGTCGAATTATTCCTAAACTGACGATGGATACTTTCCATGCAAGTTTCACGTAACAACCAACGAGGTCTAATTCGACGCTTCCATTGTTCAATTGTTGTCCGAGCGGTAAGTAAATCTTAGACATAGATTTATTCTTTGAATTCTTCGTATGTATGAAACGGCACACATAGTACGTCGTACAGTAAATATTATACATATACTCTAAACATTTACGCCATTTACATCGAAAACCACGAAAGAAAATTTCAAGAATTCTGAAAGATTATATGGAAATTTAAAGAAATTTAAGTAACAGTTATAAATTACATCAGTATGACAAATTACTGCTTCGTATTTAATTAACAACACTAAAACTACTAGAGCAAAGAATTTCCATCACAGACATTAAAAAAAAAAAAAAAAATTCCAATAAATTTTTACAACATAATAAATTACACAAACGTTCATTCACACATGTTAGGGAAAACTCTTAAACCTCCGTTTAAAAAATACTGTGTTTTACATCTGTAAGATAAGATAAGTTGATTTGCCAGTTTGATTATTCTGAAAGTTTCAGTTCTACACTTGAATTTGTACATTCAAATTTCTCGCAAGTGCACGGGGAAATCTAATTCTCTGGAGGATCGCAAGCAACAGATGGAGAGGAGAAGCGATCGAAGGAATTCATTGATTGTCCTGTCGGTCTGTCAGACAGACAGTGTTACAGACTGGCGCCATGCTTCTCGTTCGTGGAGCAATTTTAGCTACAAGCTTTCGGTGAGGGCCAATGGAAGACGAAGGCGAAATGTTGGCACGGTTCCAGGAGAGCGAAGGTCGCGCGTTCCAGCAAGTGTCCTCGGACCACGATGTGAAGCAACTCAACGATAGGAACGATCTTTCGCTGTTTGTTTTTGGAAGCTCGAGAGACAGACTGGAATCCATTGACGTACAGAGTGTTCTCTACGTCGATCGTGCTTTATGCAATCCCTGCTTTTATTTCCCAACGATTCTGACGCGACGAAAAGCAAAATTATTGAGCAAGCAAATTAAAGAAGCCTTAACCTCTTGCGCTGGAATGACGTGCCACGCGCGTCGAGAACTTTACGTCCCAAAATTGTAATATTTTCTTAGTTGTTAAGTATATTTAAGTAAAACAAAAAAATAGGCAGAATAAATAATAAAATTATTCTCAATAATTTCTATCCAGCGATATCATACCGATCGAGTTGAAAAAGAAAGCGACGAATTGTTGTGTACGGTCACTCGTTATGGTCCGCCAGCGCAAGTGATTAAAGAAGCCTTTTAATTTCTTGCGCTGGAATGACGTGCTACGCACGTCGAGAATTTTTCGTCCCAAAAGTGCAACATTTTCTCAGTTTTAAGCATATTTAAATGTAACCCAGGCAAAACAAATGATAAGTTTATTACTTCTTAATAATTTCTATCCATATCTAGTGATATCGTACCGACGAGTTCAAAAGAAAAAGAAAGCGACGAATTATTTTGTACAATTATAGTCCGCGAACCAATTGTCAGCGCAAGGGCTTAACAGTAGAAGTAATCGAAGCGAATCAATTTGTCATTTCTGTTGGAAAATTTACGAATACAAAGCAGTAATTGTTTTTTCGTAAAATGCACAGATTAAAGATTATAAAGATTTTTTTTTTCTTTTCTTTGATGTCTCTGCTTCAACACGTCGATAATATTCTAGCATCGATAGTATTTCTTAATTTGATATCACAAATTCTTATTAAACTTCGATTATACATGTACGTGAAGCTTGACGAAAATATCTCAATGTATCATCTTCGGGAATATACATCCTCTCCTTTCGTTGCATGCGTCTCTTCATACAGCGAATATTTTGCTAGCAATTTCGAGCCACCGGGTTAGGCGATTTAAATTACCCTATAGTTTCTGACTTCGTTACTCGGATATAATGCAACGCCAACGTCTTTCACGATTATGCTCCGTAATAACCCTTCAGTCGATGTTAGCGAAGAGATGATAAAGTAGAGTATCAATTTTCCCTGTTTTTCATCAGGTACGATATTTTTATCGATATCAACGATCATTTTAATCCCTGACACGACGGAAGGTCAGTATATTTCCAGGCAATTACGCTATTATAATACGCTTTTCCCACGTCAATCACCCCTTCTTTTTTCGTATCACAAAGGAAGTCCCTCTAAAAATAAATTTGTCGTTCTAACACAGACATTTTGCTTTCTCTCGTGATCTTTATACCATTCACGATCGTTTTTACCTACGTTGTTAAATGAATAATTAATGAGAGTCACGCGAGAATTTACGAGTGAACGAGGAACAATTTCAGAAATAAATAGCCGCCGTCCAGTTTCTTTGGAAATAAATTTATCTTTAATACTTTGATACTTTGGTATTTCTAAACTGTTTTTTTTTTTCTCCCTTTTTTCGTACATTCTTCACTTACTTTTTTTTTCTATCTAGGTGTTGAATAACGAACAGAATTCGCGAATGAAAGTCACGCGAGAATTTACGAGCGAACGAGAGATATAATTTTAGAAATAAACAGCTCCGTCAGTTCAGCCCGTAATAAAAATAAACTTGTCTTTTAATATTTTGCTATTTATAAACTGCTTTTTTTTTCTCTTTCACGTACTTTTCTACGCGTTCCTTTTTACCTACAGTAATAAATAATAAACAGAACTCGCGAATAAAGAATAATTTTGGGAACAAACAGCTTCATTCAGTTTCTTTAAAAAACTAAGTGTCGATATGTTTGATTGATATTTATAAATTGTTTCTTTCTTCTTTCATTCATGTTCTTTTTTTACCTACGTTATTATAATAACGAACAGAATGAGAGTCACGCGAATGAGAATTTAAGAGTGAATGAAGAATAATTTTAGACTGCGACAACCATTCACGCACATAGATATGATAAACAAGGTACGATACGCGGCGCATCGACCCCAGAAGCTCGTACACCCACTTAATAAAATTTCATCTATTTTCCACTCCACGTGAAAAGTAGTTCCTAAAGAGACAGTTCACGCGTAATTATGTGACCCGTTTCCAACCATTTGCATCCGTCACGCTGACATCAACGGACTCTCCCTGGTTGAAAATAACCTTGGCACATTTGCAAAATGCTTCGAAACCTTTTGTCGTGATTCAACGTAAAAACGTTTCGATGGAAAAAAAGAAAAAAAGAAAAAAACGTCGCGTGAAATATCGGGTGTTGCGGAGTGTACTTGTGAACGATGATGCACAAACTCGCGGGCTGTTCTTAAAATTCTCGTGCATTCCTCTTGTAATTTTCGTTTGCAAAACTTTAACGTTTTAATTATGTCGTTGTATCAGTAAGTTGTATAATTTCATATCTATATATAATAAAATATCTATAATTTTATATCTGTAAAATATCTATAATTCTATATCTATAAAATACCTATAATTATATATCTGTAAAATATATATAATTTTATATTTGTAAAATATCTATAATTTTATATCTATAAAATATCTATAATTTTATATCTGTAAAATATCTATAATTTTATATTTATAAAACATCTATAATTTTATATCTATAATTTTATATCTATAAAATACCTATAATTTTATATCTGTAAAATATCTATAATTTTATATCTATAAAATATCTATAATTTTATATCTGTAAAACATCTGTAATTTTATATCTATAAAACATCTATAATTTTACATCTATAAAATACCTATAATTTTATATCTATAAAATACCTATAATTTTATATCTATAAAATATCTAATATATATAAAATATCAAATAATACCAAATAATTCCAACGATCATTTTGATAATTTTGGTTTAGTTCTAGTGTTACAATTTTATCCACTCTAGGGTAAACTCCTCGCGCGAAAGAAAATTCCCTTTTGAAACGTGGATTCCGTTTTCACGTTCTTTTCTTTCTGTTCTGTTTTCAGACGTTTCTCTGTGTTGTTTGAGTGTTTATAGTGAGGTGGCTGCGAATCATGCCGCAGAATAATCCGTCTCTCAAGTCTAAACGAACACAGCACACAACACACTCGGCGCGACGAGACGTCGAGGAGACAGTGAGAATCGAACAAAGCTGAACATACAGAGAGACCAGAGAGAGAGAAAGAAAGAGCATGCATCGTTTAATGTTCACACACACATACACACACACACACACACACACACACACACACACACACACACACACACACACACACACACACATACACACAGTGTGTTATT